TGTTTGTACTCTTAAAATAGACATTGTTCTATCATATCGTAGAGGCAGAGAACCTTGGTATATAATGACGAGGTTTAATCTGCAGTGTCACCCAAGTTAGTAAATATTGAAGATATGTGAAGATTTTTTTAATAGAATGCTTGTACAGTGTCTAGTAAGTACAGTTTACAGATATCAGTTAGAGTGTAGGGAAAATATTTTATATGGTATTCTCCTGAGTTGGAGTGCAAAGTTGACTTCCAGTTTTTATTCTTGGTAGCCAGGAGTCAGATTTGTTTGTCTTGAATTACTCTCTTTTGCTTGAAGTTTTTAATATTTCTTTAATATTTAATAATAAGAATAAGAATGAGAATGAGAATGGTAATAAAAATAATTATGATAGTAACATTTATTATTGTTTTTTTATTATTATTATTATTATTATTATCATCATTATTATTGTTATTATTACTATTATTATTATTATTATTATTATTATTATTATTATTATCATCATTTTCATCATGATCATTATTACTATTGTTATTATTAGTAGTAGTATTAGTGTTTTTATTACTGCTAGTTTCTGATGTTACATATGATATTACTGTTACTGTTATCATTATTTTTTCATTATTATGGAAATCATCTGTATTATGAATATTGTGATTTCGGTTTAATATCTGCATAACTATTTTTGCTATTATAATTTTTATTATCATTTTTATTATCATTATTATTATAATGTATATCATTGTCATTATTACTAATATTTTATTTCTAATGGTTCATGGTTTATTTTGTTTTATTTTTGTAACTATTATTGTTATTATCTTGTTCTATTTTGTTCTTATTGTCCACGTTTTTGAAAACCACATAAAGAAGGACAAGAGGGTATTTTATACCAGAGGTAGTTGGCTGGACTGTAGTCCCAACCAAAGACTGTACAGTGAAATTGACTTGTACAGTGTAAAATAGGAAAAAAGACATGATAGACTGGAACTTACAATAGTGTTGGAAGGGGATAGTGGATTTTTTGTTTTCTTTCGCAGCAGGGCCATCCACGCACATGGTACTGGGGGCAAGTGCAAATTTTGCGCCATCACCTGACCAGTAACCACCCGTCTAGTCGTCTAGGTGCCAAAGAAAGGTGTCGGTAGCAATTGGTGGTGAAGGCGCAATGGCAAAGGAGGGGAGGGAGTTCACCTTCTTTATCCATAGGACTTACCTCACCCTTTGAGACAGTAAAGCATTTTCTCCATTTGTCATTTGTCATTCTCTCTCTCTTTCTTCATTTTCTTTCTTTCTTTCTTTTTTTCTTGCTCTCTGATTCTCTTTCTCTCTCTCTCTCTCTCTCTCTCTCTCTCTCTCTCTCTCTCTCTCTCTCTCTCTCTCTCTCTCTCTCTCTCTCTCTCTCTCTCTCTCTCTCTCTCTTTGTTCTTGTTCTTGCTCTTGTACACTCACTCACTCACTCTCTCTCACTCTCTCTCACTCTCTCTCTCTCTCTCTCTCTCTCTCTCTCTCTCTCTCTCTCTCTCTCTCTCTCTCTCTCTCTCTCTCTCTCTCTCTCTCTCTCTCTCTCTCTGTCAACCACAATTGGCTGTATGTTTTGATTTATGTGTTCAGTAAATGTACTGGTGTAGTGGTATTGTGTGATTATTTGTAATTATGTATTTACCTGAATAAGCGATGGTCTCTTCAATTGAACTCGGATGGTAACTGTGTCTCTGATGATCTTTGTCTGTGGTTTGCAAGATATTTTCTGAAGGTATAGAGAATTAGCAACCCTTAATCTTTGTTACAGTTCTGAATCTGTGCCGTAGTTTTTCTTAGTTGCTTTTGTGTTTTATTTACTCTCTTCCATGCGTATGTGTGTGCAAGAGTTTGAATGCAAGCAGGCATGCATCCATTTGTGTTTGTGTGTGTTTGTATAGATGCACATTCATGCTTCAAAATTCATTCTACAAATTCATTTAAACTTGTTTTAATAGATCACCAAACAGTTAAACATCATTTTGTGTGTGACTTATGCTATTGCATACAAAATATTCTTTATACTTATATTTGATGTCCTAAAGGTATGCATATGGAGAGTTGACAGTGATTGCAACATGATCAATGATGGCAACTCGCAACACTGCATGCCAACTTGAGTGCTTTTCACAGCCTTTGGGTAACCTCTTTTGAGTTTGGTCAGGATGAGTGCATGAACGCAGTAACACAGCTTATTAAATTGTGTATTTTGTTAAAGTCTCAAATAAATACAATTTATTGTTCTTCCCTCAAAATTTTTTTTTTTTTTTTTGTTATTATTATTAATTATTATTATTATTATTATTATTATTATTATTATTCCACCTGCTTTCAGTAAGCTTTTTTCTTTTTCTTTTTCTTTTTTTCAGATTGTTAGATACACATGCATGTTAAGCTGATTCTGAAATATTTATGAAATGTTTATTATATTGTTGAAAACCTTTAATAAAGTTTAGATAGACTAGTTCCCTGCTTTGTATTATTTCTA